CAGGAGACTCGCTTGAGCCCAGGAGTTGGAGGTTGCTGTGAGCTGTAATGCCACGGCACTCTGCCCAGGGGGACAGCTTGAGGCTCTGTCTCAAAAAAAATAAAAATAAAAATAAAAAAATAAAATTGAAAAACTGGGTGACACCTGTAGCTCAGTGAGTAGGGCGCCGGCCACATACACCAAGGGTGGCAGGTTCCAACCCGGCCCAGGCCAGCTCTAAACAATGACAGTTGCAACAACAAAAAAAAATAGATGGACGTTATGGCGGGCATTTGTAGTCCCAGCTACTTGGAAGGCTAAGGCAAGAGAATCACTTAAGCTCAAGAGTTTGAGGTTGCTGTGAGCTGTGATGCTATAGCACTCTACCAAGGGCAACATAGTGAGACTCTGTCTCAAAAAAAATTTTTTTAAATAAAAATGAAAAACTGAGGCAAGAGGATTACTTGAGCCCAGGAGTTTGAGGTTGCTATGAGCTACAACACCCATGGCCCTCTACTGAGGGTGAAAAGTGAGACTGTCAAAAAAAAAATCGTAATTGAATTGTATAAATAATTTTTTACAGAAAACATATTCAAGATTTAAACTGGCAGCGAAAGAACATGCAACTCACAGCTGGATCTAAATTGAGAGAAATGGAGTCAAAGTGAGTATTGAAGGCAGTGCCTATGACTTAGTGAGGAGGGAGCTGGTCCCATATACCGAGGGTGGCGGGTTCAAACCCAGCACAGGCCAAAATGCAACAACAAAAAAATAGTCCATCATTGTGGCAGGCGCCTGTAGTCCCAGCTGCACGGGAGGCTGAGGCAAGAGAATCGCCTAAGCCCAAAAGCTGGAGGTTGCTATGAGCTGTGACGCTGCAGCACTCTACCAAGGGTGACAAAGTGAGATTATCTCTTTTAAAAAAAAGTGAGTATTGATAATTCCATCAACTTTCAAATTACTATTCAAACAGTATTCAAATAGGATGCTGCAGGTGTCAAAGAAATGCTTTTTTTCCCAAATTACCTTTTCCCTTTCTGTTCATTTATAAGAATTGACCCTCTTATTCTGTGATGACTGTAGATTTAAATGCAGTTGTAAGAAATAATACAGAGAGGTCCTGTCCCCTTACCTACTTTCCCACAATTGTACCTTGCTTTTTAATATGGAAAATAAGACGTGAATGTTAGTGTTATATCCCTGAGTGAACAGGTACTTATACATTTAAAAGAAAAATTTTTAATGAATTTACATTGAATAATTTTCTCTTTTCTAGTTGGGTGTCCTTGGTCAGTAAGAATTATGAGATTGAACGGACTATTGTGCAACTAGAAAATGAAATCTATCAACTCAAGCAGCAACATGGAGAGGCAAACAAAGAAAACATCCGGCAAGACTTCTGAAAAGACAGATTAATTTTGTGTGTAGAAAAAAAGAAAAGTTGGGTTTTCACAGAATGCATCTGAACTATGAGGACAGCAACATCTCACAGCGACAGTTGATAGTTAAATGTTTAGAAATCATAGAGTATGTGGACTGTTGTATTAATTCTGTTTGCATATCTTAGCAAAAATAAAATTTTCTAATGTGGTATTTTATAGCCATAAGGAAAACTTTGGGCAGTTCAGATAAGTATGACTTTAGAAAAATATTATATCATAGCCGGTGTGGTGGCTCACACCTGTAATCCTAACACTCTGGGAGGCCTAGGTAGGTGGGCTGAGGTAGGTGGATTGCCTGAGCTCACAGGTTTGGAACCAGCCTGAACAAGAGAAGACCCTGCCTCTAAAAAATAGCCAGGCATTGTGGTGCCTGTAGTCCCAGCTACTTGGGAGGCTAAAGCAAGAGAATTCCTTAAGCCTAAGAGTTTGAGGTTGCTGTGAGCTGTGACACCACTACTGAGGGTGACATAGTAAGACTGTGTCTCAAAAACAATAAATAAGTATTATGTCATAGAATTAATTTTTGAACAACTTGGACTGTATTATTTTGTGTCCAAGAATTTTATTTAAAGCTTTCAGGCTGGCTCGGCACATATAGCTCAAGAGGCTAGGGTATCAGCCACATATACCGGAGCTGGTGGGTTTGAATCCAGCCTGGGCATTGTGCCAGGTACCTGTAGTCCCAGGTACTTGGGAGGCTGAGGCAAGAGGATCACTTAAGCCCAAGAGTTTTTTTGTTTTTTTGTTTTTTTTTTTTGAGACAGAGCCTCAAGCTATCACCCTGGGTAGGGTAGAGCACTGTGGCATCACAGATCACAGCAACCTCCAACTC